TAATGTGAAATTCCGTGAGGCTGCAAGAGCTGCTGCGAGGCAAATTAAACTGGCATAAAATATGAGCTGTGGCTGTTTAAACCAAAGCCCAATCCTGCTGGGGAGTGCCCCAGACCTGCGTCTGCCCCCTGTGCCCCGGGCCCTTGGGCTGTTATGTAACCCCAACAATCAGCACCCTGCTGGCATTAGTGCTGCTCCGTGGGATTGAGATGGGATGTGCTCCCGGGTGCAGCTGGCAGAGCAGAAAATGGTGTTGGATGGCATTACTGGAAGGGCAGACTGCGTGCTCAGGGTGGGGGAATGATGGAGAGTGCAGAGGGCTGAGAGCATGCAGGGTTCTGGGCTTTGCTTTGGGCCGGGTTGGACCCCGGGGTATTTTCCCTGCAGGATGGGGCTGTGCAGCTGTGTGTGGGCTCCAGGGCAGGGATGGGGCTTTTTGGGAAGGACCTTTCAGACAATGAAATCCAACCATAGCCCAGCACCACCAGTGTTCAGCACTAAACTGGGGCCTCCAGAGCCACATCCACTCATTTCCACACGCTGCAGGGCCAGTGACCCCAGCACTGCCCTGGGCAGCTGTGCCAGGGCTTCACAGCCCTTACAGAACACACAGAAACCCCAAATACTGAATGCAGGGGACCAGAGCTGCTGCTGCACTTAGAAAAGTAACCCCTGCGTTTCATGGGTACCTTTTATCTCTTCAGGCTTAATGTTGGCTTAATGCAGTTGATGCCTATCATTTAGAAGCCCAGTTTATATCCTCTTTCATAATTATACTTCTCAGTGTTTGGTAATGCTCTTTATACCTTATTTAATCTTTTTGTTTTGTCAGATGGCTGTAACAGTAAGTCCATAAAAGCAAGATGAGACCAGACCTTTTGTTATTTGGTTGCACTTTGAAATATTAATTTCTTAACATACAGGAAAATAAAAGAACATTTGTGGACAGCAATAAGAAATTTGTTTTGATCTTTGACTTTAAGTAAAATTATCTGTCTCACAACAGGGGTGAGACAGATAATTCCTTTTGCTGTATACTCTTGGCAGTACGGTTGTGCTGCTAATGCAAAGGTAATAGTGTTTTCTTGAAAAACTAAACCCCAAAATATAGTAGCAAAAAATTGCCAGGATGTTTAGTTAATCTCAGAGAACTTGTTTTATGGGAGGGGGTGTTTGTTTCACTGCAGGGATGTGCCCTGTGTAGCAAAATGCTCTTGTGTTTGCTGGGAAATGCTGCTCAGTGTAATGTCTTACTTCCCTAAGTAATTATCATTTTTCTGGCATTGACTGCAGGGTCCTGCACACCCTGAAGTCCCTGTGGTGAGCACAAGGGCAGGCAGAAGTGCTCTCACCAGCGTGACTGCTGGGATTAAATGAACTTTAAACCAGAGAATTCCCAGCTCCTAGGATGCAGGGAATGGTCCCCAAGCCATGGGGGTTTGTGGGGATCCTGGGGGGCTGGTGCTGAGCCATCCCTGGGTGTCAGGATAACCCGAGGGCACGGGGAGGGACTAGGGGCACGAGGGGATGGAGGGTGGCATGAAGGGATGCAGGGTGGCATGAAGGAACAGAGGGTGGCATGAGGGCATGGAGGGTGGCACGAGGGGATGCAGGGTGGCATGAAGGGACAGAGGGTGGTACAGGGATGGAGAGTGGCACGGGGATTTAGGGTGGCATGAGAACAGAGGGTGGCACAGGGACAGAGGGTGGCATGGGCTGCTTTGGGGATTGGTGCCATGCAGTGGCCACAGCTGCCCAGCAGTGCTGGCTCAGTGGGCAATGAGAGCAGCCTGGGCAGGGGCACCCACAGAGCTGCCTAAACTAAATTAAAAAGGGATATTTGAATTCAGGTCTGTGTTGCTTTAAAGGGTTATTTTGGGAGCAAGAAAAGGAGACTGGTCTTTCATTATTAAATCCCGTTAAACTCCACGATATCTGTTGGGATGATTTTAGACTGTCAAGTTTGCATAACTCTGCAAACAGAAGTGAATGTAGTTTTCAGGGCTTTTTAATTTTAAATTAAAGCTTCAACTATCATAGAATCCTGGAATGGTTCACCCAGTTCCAGCCCTCCACCATGGGCAGGGATATCTTCCTTATACATTGCATAAGCATAATTTTTTTATTTAAACTTCCAGATTAATTTTCTTTGATCTTGTAACATAAACTCCATTGTGTCCTAGTTTAATTTAATTCATTTTCAGACTTTGAGCAAGAAATGCACAGCTAGTCTTTGTGTTGAAAGAATAGCTTTTAATGGGAATCATGTCTCGCTTCCCCAAATTTTAATCTATGTCTGCATTGAGGAGCTGCTTCATTTACTCTGTATTCCTGGTTTATCTACAGGATTAGATGTTTTTCTGGAACCAGCTTCCCTGTTCCTTAGTGCAATCCTTCCTGAACTGCTCTTCTGGAGCTTTATTCTGCCCTGCACTGCTCAATACCTTCCCTGATTCAGATGCTAATGTGTGGTGTCTGGCAAGGGACCGGCATTAGCATATTGAGAATAGATTTGAAAAAGACCTTTTTTATTTGTGTGCTTATATTTTATAAATAGCCTGAAGGGGAGGATGGGGTGTTTTGTAAATGGTTTGCAGAGCTGAGATCCAGTGGGCTCGTGATTGCTGTGGCATTTCCATTACCCCAGTCCCTTCTTGAACGTGGAGCCTTTGTTATTAACACCTACACAGCAGCAATGATGCCATGAACTCTCTTTCATGTTTACTATTCTTTAAATGTTTGAATTCTCGAGGTACTTCCTTGGAACTGGGAAGGTGCAAGCAGCAGAGATGGTGCTCCCTGGGGCACTGGACCCAGTGCAGGTGGGGTTTGGGAGTGGAGGCTGTTGAGATATTGGGCAGGAACTGGGATTCTTCCACTTTGTAAAGGAAAGTGATTTAAAATCTATTCCCTGTGACTGAAGTGTGCCTGAAGCTGAATGTGACTGTACCCATAACAATTCCAAATGTGGTGTAGAAATGTTTAAGCAATTGAAATGGTAAAGAAGGAACTGGATTGCCTTTTATGGTTTTTATTTCCCCCACAGTTTTGTTGGCTGCAGTTACCTGACCGTGGCCCATTCTCTGCTTTTCTTGTATTGAATAGATGTGATCTTCTCCCTTCTGCCTTTTGCTGGCTGTCCTCAACGGCATCTCAGTGAAACCGGGCTGGGATTTTTTTCTATGACAACCGAGCTGGTGCTAATAGAGAGACTTATGTGAGAATTAGATCTTTTTGTAAGACTTTCACCAGTCACTGCTAGCCTTAGGTGCAAAGAAGCAGATTTGCTGTGTTGAGTAGCTTGTTGCTAAAGCTCTTAGTGAGCTAAAGCCCTGCTGGAGTGATGTCTCTGTTGGTGAAAGCAGAGGTGCTGCTGTGCCAGGCTGGGGAGCAGGGCACGTTTGGTACCCACCTCACTGCTGTGCTGGGACAGGTCCTGTTTGTCTTGGTAGGAATCCAAGGCAAACCTGCTCTAAACTCAGGTCCACAGGGAAGGGCTGGCTCTGCCAAGAAAAGGCATTCCTGTGTGGGTGTACATTGGGACTTTTAGAGACTCCTTTTGCTTCAGTTCATCTTTCTTCTCTCAGGTTCAGAGTTTTCCATCCCTCGTGGTGTAAATGTTTGTCTTGCTGGTACTTTGTGTGTATTAGATATACCCAAGTTAATGCTGCCCCAGCCAACATGTGGATATGGTCTAACATCACCTTCTGGCTTGATTTATGTCACATTTGTGGTTTATCTTAAAGCCCTTCCAAACTCACCTTCATTCAGCATGTGCTGATCCGCGGGGTGCCATTATTTATGGACATAATGAAGGACACATTTATTGCACTCACATGAGGCTTCCAGAAGAATTTGGTTCTGTTCAGCTCAGCCTCAGTCCCCTCCTTTCTCCAAAAAGAGAACTCAGGAAAAAGACTCCTCCTGATGGGTTTGTTCCATGTGGGGTTTGCCTTGCCAGCTCCTGGTGAGTGAAGGAGCCAGGGGAGGTTATTCCAGTGCCAAGGGCTGTTCAGCCCTGCTTTGCTCAGTGTTTAGATGCTGCTCTGACTGCCTGTGAGCATGTCAGAGCTGCTGGGAGAATAAATAAATAAATCCCAGCTCTGGCAGAGCAGTGGGAGTGTGGGTTAGCCTTTGCTGTGACTCTGAGGAGCACTGGGGAGAGAAGTGCTGCAGAGAGGAAGGGTGATAAGAAATAAAGACAGACCCAGAGAGTTTATTTGGGAGCCAGCCAGAGTGTAAACAAATCACCCAGGGAGATGAATTTGGAGTGATACCAAGTGAGGAGAGGCTGTGAATGGATAAAACCAGAAGGTAATTTAAGAGCATGGATATGTACTGAGATCAAGAGGAAATCTTATCTTGATCCTTGTGTTTGGAAGGCTGCAGGAGGGAGGATGGGAGATGAAATGGAAGAAATGGGTTTATTTTAGTCAAAACACAGAGGAGGAAAAAAGCCTTATCATTGATGGGGCAGGTGGATAAAAGGAAATCATCCCAGTGTGAGTTGGAAGGTCGGTGGCAGCATGGAGAGGGTGTGAATGGGTCTGTGTCATTCTGTGAGCAGCTCTGCCAGTGGCACAGCACGAGGGACAAACTGCAGGGCTACTGAGCCCAAAGGACTGCAGGGTTTGAATGAGCATCTCACCAGTCCAAGTGCATGGAGTGCTGGGGTTTAAATTACAACACTGTGTGCAGTAATAGAAAAAATGTAAATAAGATGAGCATGAAACAACTATAAAATGTTTTCCTTCAACACAGATCAAAGTTTTCTTTGCCTCCTTTGTTGTGAGGGTGTTCAGACAGATGAGCTGTCCCATTTTCCTGTGTGCAGAAGGTGGCAGTGAAGAAGGAACAGTCTCCCAGCAGTGCCCACTTTGTGTCACTGGAGGTTCAGGCCAGAGCTGGGTTGTGCCTGGCACATGCTGGGCAGCCCGTGAGCCATGGCATTAGTGGGTGAGGTGGCCGTTCAGCTGACTTTGTTCTGCTCTGCCCCACAGTTGAAAGATGCATGAGTGTGATGCAGTCTGGGACGCAGATGGTGAAGCTGAAGAGTGGAACCAAGGGGCTGGTCCGTCTCTTCTACCTGGACGAGCACAGGACCTGCATCCGATGGAGGCCCTCCCGCAAGAGCGAAAAGGCAAAAAGTAAAGTAAACTCCTCATATTTCTTCTAATTTCTGGGGCAGTCCAGTATTGGAGTGTGACTTACAGAGCCACACAGGGGCTTGTGGGCTGATGGGAGATGCTTGGTCTCTCCCCGGCTCCCTTTCTGCAGCCTCAGCCCTGTGATGTTCTGGGCAGTGCTCAGAGCCTCCAGGGCAGCCGGCACTTGGCACAGCCATGGCAGGGAAACCTTCAGTCCCACAGGGCTTTGGGATGTGCAGATGTAACATTAGTCAAGTTTAATGCCTCTGAGCCTGAATAACTCAGACTGGGAGAAGCAGGAGGAGGCTGGCTGGCTGTCCCAGCGAGGGCTTTGGGATGTGGAGATGTAACATCAGTAAAGTTTAATGCCTCTGAGCCTGAATAACTCAGACTGGGAGAAGCAGGAGGAGGCTGGCTGGTGTCCCAGCGTGGCCTTTGGTTCCCTTTGCCCCCAGTTGTCATCGACTCCATTTACAAAGTGAGCGAGGGCCGGCAGTCGGAGATCTTCCACCGCCACGCCGAGGGCAGCTTCGACCCCAGCTGCTGCTTCACCATTTACCATGGCAACCACCTGGAGAGCCTGGACCTGATCACGTCCAACCCCGAGGAGGCTCGCACCTGGGTCACGGGGCTCAAGTACCTCCTGGCCGGGATCAGCGACGAGGACTCGCTGGCCAAGCGCCAGAGGACGCACGACCAGTATCCTTTGGGGGCCAGCCTCCTCCTGGGTCATGTTCCTGCCTTGGTTTGCACCTCAGCACAGCCCGTCCCTTCTCCCCCTATTTTGTGACCAAAGCCCTTCCACCGATTGCAATGGAAACCTGAGCAGTGGGTTTGACATGGACACTTCTGTGTGTGATAAACCACGGGCTGTGCCTTGGGGGCTGGATCAAACTGCATGGGAGTCAGGGGATAGGTTTGCATTTTGGTAATGAATTCCCTTTTGAAGGGGCAGACCAGTTATTTCTAGTTATCTCAGTACCTCAATAACTCCTGGCCATCTCTGTTGCTCTTGTGTAAGTCAGATGCTTGTGTCCTTCCCAGCCTCCATTGTTTGTCAGAAGCACAAATCCATAAAGCTCCTTAAATGTTTGTTGTAGCTCAGTAGCCAAAGTGAACCTTATGTTCTCTGAATATTTTCTTCATGTGCCCTTTTTTTCCCCATAGTTTTTTTTTTCACAACAGTGATGACTAAAATGTTATACACAAAGAACACTCTTCTCCCAAAAACCAAACCCCAAGGTCATCTTAATTAAAATTGTAACCTGTCTGTTCTTCTGCCTCATGGAACTCTCCAGTGGTACTCCTGGAGAATATACATATTTCAGGTATTTTTAATTTATATCTGCCGTGTTTGATTCTGATCCACAGCAGGCACAGGTCCATTGGGGTTGTATTGCATGCTCTGTTGCACCTGTCCTCACTTGCTATATTTAACCATGGCTTTTCTGAGCTGCTCCTGTCTGCTGTGTCTTCTCTCCTGGTGAAACATCACTGCAAGTCCTGTTTGTTTTATCCAGTGTGGCAGCTGGGAGCCTGCACCCAGAATGGCCCTGTCCCACTCCCAGCTGCTGCAAGAACTTAGCAGGAGGTGCTGTGGGATGTTTGTGCAAGGAGGGGGTGAAAGGTGGGTGAAAGGTGCTGTTGGGAAGTGAAGCTCAGGCAGAATGAAGGGACAGGTGGAAGAAGATCCCAGAGTAAGCCCAGCAGTATTTGAAACCTTTGGAGCACATTCTCAGAGGAGGAACCAGCACCAGAAATGGGAGTGCAGAGGGGCTGAGCTGTGAATAATTGCCATAAACCAGTGGTGGCTTAAGCCTTTGGCTGAGCTGTAGTAAGGGCAGGGGCAAAAGGTTCTTTCCTGAGCTGCCCTGCCTCCTGTGCCCGGGGAGAGCCCTGTGTGCCTGTCCTTGACACGCTGGCAGCTGGGTGAAGCAGACCTTCGAGGAGGCTGACAAGAACGGGGACGGGCTGCTGAACATCGAGGAGATCCACCAGCTGATGCACAAGCTGAACGTCAGCCTGCCCCGCAGGAAGGTCCGCCAGATGTTCCAGGTGTGTACCTGCATAACCAGGTAACATCCATTTCTGGGCACAGCCAGGGCAGGCTCTGCAGCCTGGGACCAAAAACACAGCACTCACAGGCTTTTCAAAGTCCTTCCTTTCTGTAGGCATCAGAATGTTGTTTCAATGACAGGAAGCACACAGAAAAGTTACCAACATTACTCTTTCTGCTGCATTGTTGGTTTCAGCTCTGTGAACTGAACTGTTCTATGCTGGCACTGATGGACAATGAAGTCCCTCTGTTGCTACTAAAATATTTTTTATGTCCTTTATGGAAAATTATTTTATAGAAACTGGCTTGATGCAAGTAATTAGGTTTTCTTTAACAACTTCCTCATATACAGCCATCCAGATTTGATGGATTTAGAATCAATTTTTTACTTCTGTTGTCTGAAAACGGCTCCCATTTTCCACTAGTCCTTGTGTTTACTGTAGGAAAGGAAAGATAAACCAGGACATAAGGGAGAGCAAAATATGTCCTCTTCACTTTTCTAAACCAGTACCAGCTCAAAGCTGGTTTGCTGTAAAACATGGGAAAGTTGAAGAATCTTCTATTCTTCATAAATTCCCCACTAGAGATACATCTTTGGAGTGTGGAGTTACTCCCAAAGACCTGGAAAATGGTGGAGTGGTGTTGCAGAGATTAGTTTGGGTTGTATTCGTTCCCACAGATTGTAAATGTAATCTAAGGCATGTAATAGATCTAAAATGATTTAAAACCCCATTCAACACCATTTAGCTGAGAATTCCTTTCCTCTCAGCTGACTTGCTGTGATAGGAGTTTGCAGCTCCTCTCTGCATGGGGACCCACACAGTGCCTGCCAGCCATTCTCCAGAATATATTCTTTGTTTTCAAAATCCACAGCAATCCTCTTAGGCAGATGTTCACAGGAAAAAAGCTTGTATTAGTGTGTGCTAAGTACTGTTTTCTTCTCTTCCTAGCTCTGAGGAGAAGCAGCAAATCCAGCCTGGAGATGCTGGGTGTGTGTTTTGGTGAGGAGTCTCAGAGCTGCTGCAGAGCTGTCCCCTCTGCAGAGTGCTGCACATTAAATAATGTGCATTGGAGACTCTGACACTGTCCTGAGTGGTTTAAGATACCAGACTGTTGTTGGGGAAGCCTTGGGTGATATTGTTATGCCTTGCTGTGTTTTAATCCAGGATAACTGCAGGGCACACAGGGGAGGGCAAGAGATCAGAATAAAGCCCAGGGTGAGCCTCTTTCTGGGGGAAATAAATATGGAATTAAAGAAGGAAATTAGAGTTTCATGGGGGATCTGTGGCTTTAGTTTAGTAACCAGAAACCCCAGAGATGATGATATAATTTTGCAGTTATTTTAGCCTGTTAGGATTTGTGTCTGAACAGTCTCACAGACTAGAATTTACTACACTTCTGTTGGTGTACACAAGTCCTGCTCTGTTTTATTCCCGGATTTCTCCTGTGCTGAGCATGTTTACCTGAGTGTCATTACCTCTTAGGAGGCAGACACAGATGAGAACCAAGGAACCCTGAACTTCGAAGAATTCTCAGTGTTTTACAAGATGATGTCCTTGCGTCGAGATCTGTACCTGCTGCTCCTAAGCTACAGTGACAAGAAGGATCATCTCACTGCTGAGGAGCTGGCCCAGTTTCTGAGGGTGGAACAGAAGGTAGGGCAATACCTGCACCCATGTCTATGGCCATGCACTTACATCCAAGTGTAGGGAAAGGATTTTATGGAAAATACTAACTTGGGGCAGAGGGCAATGCACAGATGTGACAGAAGAGAGTTCGGAAGGTTTTATTGTTTTTTGAAATGCTTCTAGAAAGAGTTTGAGCTGCTTTGGATGATTTTTGCAGTGCCCAGGGTAGCGGTGTGAGAGGGTGCTCAGGGACCTGGAGCAGGAAGAGGAACACATGGCAAAGGTGGGGGAGCTGCCTTTGGGGAGCACAGGGACATTATGGAGCTGCTGCTGCAGCAGAAGCTGGAGCTGACTGTCAGGTCTGGCATTCTGCACCCTCTCAGTGCCCTGTGTGCCCTCCTGAGAGCCCTGTGTGGGCAGAGCTGCTCTGCTCAGCACTGCTCCAGCAGCAAACCACAAACAGTGAAAGCAGCAGCTCCTCTTGGCTGGGCACCTTGCAGCCCGGTGCCCCTTCCCAGTGCCCAGCACTGGAGGTCAGGAGATTCCTGAATGTTCCCTGCTCCCCTGGGACATTGCCCCAAAACCTGATTGTGCTCCCAGGCAGGAAGCAGCTCCCCAGCGCCCTCAGCACCCAAACAGCATCTTGGTTTTGCTCTTGTCTGGATGCTTGCAAATCTGTGGACGGTCTGTTCTGCTCCATCTGCTACTCAATTGGCAGGATGTGAAACACTCTGCAGCCTGAGGACACAACAAAAGCGGCTTGGGGTTTTTGTTAGCTTGCTAAACTGGCTTCTTGTTTAGGAGAGCAACCCATATTATTTTTAGTGGAGTACTCTATAAAGTGTAACAAAAAAATGAATGGCCAAAGTCATCACCTCTCAAGCTACAATTAAAAAAGCACAAATGTGTGGACTTTTCCCCAACAGATGCAGCTTTGGACTAGATTAGACATTTCCATTCCTCAAGCACATGAGAAGCCCACGCTGGGCCAGCAAGGAGCCATGGGGGATAATGGAAAAGTGAATTTGAGCCAGCTTGTACCAGAACAGGGCCTGCTCTGAGCAGTGTTTGCAATCAAACACCAACCTGAGCAAGGATAATCAGTTATTTTTCTTTCTGAATTGATCCCTTTTATTATCCTATGTAATTCCTGCAGCCTCTCAGGATGGTTGGCTTAGCTGGGACAGTACAAACAGTGAACTGGATGATGGCACAAGGAAGGTGCCAGAGGTTTGAGAGCCAGTGTTGTCTTCCTGTGATGTTGGTAGGGGAGAAATGAAATCCACCCCATCCTCATTCTCCCTTTGGTTCTCTACAACTCAAGGCAGTGAGGAAAGATGAAATAGGAGCTACTCCTTCCCTTTAGCTCTGAAGGAAATATAAGTGAATACTTGTAATTGCCCCACAAATCAGTTAGAACCTCAGCTGTGGCCTAGCTGAAGCTGTTGACAAAATTCCTATTTGTTTCAGAAAAGCTGCTGTTTTTCATTTCAGAATGTAATTATTTCTCTCCTAGCCTGTGTGTTACAGTGAACTCCCTTGGAAATAATGAAATCATAAGAGTGGAAAACGCATGAAAATGAAATCCAAGCCTGCCAGATCTTTTTGCATGTCTAAGAAGATTGTATTAAAGAATATAATGTCATAGTTCTCATTTCAGTATTGGCCAGTACAACTATTAAGGCTGCTAAACAGCTAATTTTATTCTTGAGACTAAAATGACATAGGTTTTAATTGATGGCTACCACTCCTGTTTGTCTCCTCCAAGTTAAGTAGATTTTCACCTGCTGGTGATGCTAAAAATGAGTGTACCTCCGCTGCTGTTTTTGTGCAGATGAATAATGTGACACCAGAATATTGTCTGGACATCATACAGAAGTTTGAAGTGTCAGAAGAAAACAAGAAGCAAAATGTTCTTGGGATTGAAGGTAAAAGTTTTGTTTTCAGAGTGAGTTTTCTCTTGCCATGCTGCAGGGGAGTGGAAGTGCTTTGATGTGTGTTGGTGAGGCTTTTGCTGTCCCCTGGATCAGCAGTGTGGGAGCGTTTTGTGAGTCAGGGGGGAGCTGTGAGTAGGTGTGGTGAGGCAGCAGCTCTCAGCCATCCATCACAGGCACCCTCAGCGGAGGGGCTGGATGCCTGAGGCTGTGGGGATTTATTGCTCACTCTCACAAAACTGTCCTGGACCGTGCGGTTTATCTACAGCCTGCTCCCAGCGAGGTAATGAAAGCAAAGTGTTCATTCTGCCTCAGCTCTGGGGATCTGGGATCCTGCACAATCCATTCCTTTATGCTTCTGTGAAATAAAGTACAGATAGTTGCATTTTCATTGGGTTTAAATACCTGATTCCCTTTGCTTGTGAAAGCACTTGTAAATTGTATGTTTATTCAGAATCCAGTTTAGTATCAGATCAGCCTCAGAGCTGAGATGAAATAGATTAAAAGCCATGTTGTGCTCCTTTGCCCAGAAGGAAGCTTCTGTGGAGCAGCATTATGTTCGTGGTGATTTGGGGAGGGGGAAAGGAGGAATTTTCCTCCACATGGTATTTAAATCCTGGGTATGGCCTCCCTTCAACAAGCCTCTGATGTGACCCAGGGCGCTGCACTCAAACTGAAAAAAGGAAAGTAAAACAAACAAGCTGTGACACTTAAACAATATTTCTGCAAGCATTTCTGCTCCTGTTAACCTGCTGCTGCAGCTGCTTTTATCTCTGAGCTGCTTTCAGGGCTGGTATTGTTTGCACAGTCCTTTGCAAACGTTTTACATGTTTCATTCTTAAAGGAGGTATTTTTAAAACTTTCTCTGTACAGTGCTGCTCTATTTAGAGGGTTATAAATGAAGTGCCATCTTCTTGAATAAACTTGCAGGAAAAAGGAAATTGTGAAGTGAGGATGATGGGTCAGTGCCTTGGCTGCTGATGCGCGGTTGTGCTTTGGGCAGCTGCTGCCTTGCGTGCCCCCGTGTGCTGAGGGCAGCGCCATGCACAGCACAGGAGTGCCACCCAGGAGCTCTGCTGGGAAGGGCGTTTGTGTCGGAGCCAGGGCGGCCTCACCGTGCCCAGCAGTGCCTGCCCACTGTTGGAGGCCCAGCCCGGGGGCTCAGAGCGCTCTCTGTGCCCGCAGGCTTCACCAGCTTCATGCGCAGCCCGGCGTGCGAGGTGTCCAACCCGCTGCACCGCCACGTGCACCAGGACATGCAGCAGCCCCTGTGCCACTACTTCATCGCCTCGTCCCACAACACCTACCTGAGCGGGGACCAGCTGCTCTCCCAGTCCCGCGCCGACATGTACGCACGCGTGCTGCAGGCTGGCTGCCGCTGCGTCGAAGGTGGGCTGCATGGGGGCTGCATGGGGGCTGGCTACACAGGGGCTGCACGGGGGCTGGCTACACAGGGCTGCAAGGGGGGCTGCACAGGGGCTGCACGGGGGCTGGCTACACAGGGCTGCATGGGGCTGCCTGCACAGGGGCTGCACAGGGCTGCACGAAGTTGCATGTGGGTTGGCTGCATGGGGGCTGGTTGCACAGGGGCGGGTTGCATGGGGCTGGCTGCATGGGGATGCACAGGGGCTGGCTGTATGGGGGCCCCATGTGGGCTGCACAGGGACTGCATGGGAGCTGCACAGGGCTGCATGTGGGGCTGGCTGCATGGGAGCTGCACAGGGCTGCATGGGGCTGTCTGCATGGGGCAGCACAGAGGCTGCACCAGCCGCTGCCTCAGGGCCACGCTCCCAGCAGCGATGCTGGGCTGCCTCAGGCACTTTCTGATCACTCCAAACTGGATTTTTCTGTTGGGAATGATCACCTTGGGCAGGCATCACAGACACCAGAGAATCACAGAATGGTTGGAAAGGGTGCTAAAGATCGTCCAGCTCCACCCCCCTGCTATGGGGATGACACTGGATTCTTTTTTAAGCTGTGCATGATTTAAATAATAACAAAACATTAGTGGTTTTATATTAGTATTAGTATCTTTCTTTTCCAAAAATAAATAAAGTCTTTTGGCAAAGTTAGACTCAACATTAATTTTTTATGAATAGCGCTACAAAGGGTCATCTGGAAAAAAAATATTGTTAATCTCTATTTAAAAATTAATTAGAGAAAATGAACCTGAGAAAACTGGGTGATTGCCTTCTGCAGAGCAGCTCCCAAGAACACTCAGCAGTGTTATTTTCCTTGAACCCAAAGCTATTGCAGCTACTTGAGGGCCCAGGCACTAGCTCTGCAGCTTTCTCCTTGGGAAGTTTAACTGCCTGTAGAGGCAGCAGCAGTGACAAGATTGGTACAAATTCAGGGAACAGGCATTCATTAGGAAAAGCAATCTTATGCTGGTCCATTCTGCATGTGCTGGATTTGATGCTACTCTTCATACAGTCAGTTATAAAGCTGCAAGTTAAATTGGGAGTGGGAAAAGATAAGTTCTTTTAAAATAATATGTCCTCAGAAGCAAAAACTCCATTCCCAAGGTAGCTGTAAACATTATTTGACCTATTACACCTTTGTAGTTTTATATATGAGGAAAAAAGCTCAAATAAATACAAGGAGGAAAACAGTTCTAGGATGCAGAATTCGTATCTGACCTAGGAAAAGACTGTCCTGTTAGTGTGAGCTCAGCTGGCAGGGCAGGGGAGATGGAAGGAGAGGTGCCAAGGGATGGAGTGAACCTGCATGGCTGAGCAGGTGAGCTCAGCTGGCAGCAGGAGCACAGGAATGGGTGAGACTGGGGGCATCCCTTAATGTGTGCCTTTTCTGGTCTGCACAGTGGATTGCTGGGATGGCCCAGATGGGGAGCCAGTGGTGCACCATGGCTACACCCTGACTTCCAAAATCCTCTTCCGGGACGTGGCAGAAACCATCAATAAATATGCCTTCATCAAAAACGAGTAAGTGTGCAGCCAGCTTTGCAGCTACACCGGTTTTCTGTAGTTAATCCCACACTGAAAACAACCATCAAGCCCAGGAAGTGCAAATATTCCTTCAGGCACATCAGGGTAGATTCTGTTCCCCTGTTTATTGCCCATGCTGTGTTTATTGTTCAGCTGCACAAGCTCTTCCCATCAATTGAGGGCGAGAGTTCTCTCTAAGTTGAACCTTTTTGTGCTCTTGAACTCAGTAAGGCTTTGGACAGTCTGACACTGCTGATTATCTTTCAACAGAACTTCCCACTCACATCCACAGGGAAATTCTCCTGAAAAATCGATACTGTGATCTTCTTTACCTACTGAAAATACTTTATTTCAGCAGAAAAATTGAAAAGCTGTCATGTGTAGTTTGAGGAAATACTGAGGTGTGGGGTAGTGTTCTGAATCTGTTTCATTTGCCATGGTGCTTTATAAGAGTTTATTATGAAAACTGTGGATTTTACCCATTTATATATATACACATACATACAGAGTAGTCTCAAATTATGAGTGGGTGTTGAGAATTTTGAGTAGTTTAAAGACAATAAAAGGAAAATACTTCCTTTTCTCTGTTTAAATAAAAAGCACCCAGAAATGGATTTGTGGGAAAGAAAACAAAGCTCCTTGTTATAGAGCCCTGGGGCTGCCAAGAGTTTAGAGAACAATGGGGCAAATCTGTGCAAGAACTCAGCTGTTCCATTCCCAGGTGGGTGGTAAGGGTGCAGCTCTGACAGTGTCTGGGGCTTTGTTTCCAGGTTTCCAGTGATCCTGTCCATTGAAAACCACTGCAGTATTCAACAGCAAAAGAAGATTGCCCAGTACCTGAAGGAGATATTTGGTGACAAACTGGACTTGTCATCTGTGAGCACTGGAGACCCCAGGCAGCTTCCTAGCCCTCAGGATTTAAAAGGGAAAATCCTAGTGAAGGTAACTTGCTGGGCATGTTGAGAATGCAACAAAAGTCAGCTTGTGATGTTTATTGTAGGTTTTCTTTGGAGGACCAGTTCATATCCCTTTAGCACCTAAACATTATCTGACAGTCTTTCCTTGGACAAAGTACTTTGGAGTGGTAGAAAAGTGAAGCTCTCCTGCCCTTCCCCTCAGCCAGCAGGGAGCTGCAGTTCATGGGATGGAGCTCTGCTCATGGTTCATCTGCTGTGTTTGTGGGAGGAGAGCAGCTCAGGAGGAGCTGGAGGAGGCCCCAGAGCTCTGTGCAGGATTAATTGTGTGAGCCCCTCACTCCAAACAGATTTGCTCTGAAAGGAATTCCAAAGGCCAGGATGGATAAAACAGGGAAGGAGCACAAGGCAGACCTTTGGGAGGATGATTAATAGAGTTCTGCCCCATTAGATTGTCTAATTTACTTGGACACAGGGGGGCAATTACTTCTGTGTGAGCTCTCAGGATACTCTGGCTTTGCCCCTGTTCTTGGCTGCAGGGATTCTCAGTTTGTCTGATGTTAGTTTGAACATGCTGCAGTGCACAGTACAGAGCTGACCCTGAATTAGGAGCCCTTTGAGTGCTCAGCCGTGATTTTGCATTTCACTGCATCCGTTTTCTGGGGTGGCTGCTGGTTAATGAACTGTGCAAACACAGTTTGGTGTTTGAGGGATCCACAGGAAATCATATGGAACATCACTCCTGCAGAAATCCCCTGGCACTGCACCAAAGGCAGCACAGGCTGGGTGCTCTGGGCTCTTACCTGAATTTCTGAGCTGCCTTTTCAACATGTCTGAGCTGTCATTGCAGGGTGATCCTCCAGCTCTCACTGCTGGAGCCCTTGGGTGCAGACTGCTGTGGAGCTGAGCTGCTTTCAGAATGAGAAATTCTATCTCGAGCATCCCTGCATCCCTGCACAAAGCCCTGTCTCCCATCCCCTGCTCAATTTAAGCAGCTCTGTTGGAAAACATGAAATCAGATTTAGGAATCAGTACCTTGTTGAGAAGTAAGCCAGCTTCTCATCTTTTTGCTATTGGTTTTGCTCTTTTTATACATTTTCCTTTGAAAGGCAGTATTGATTCACTAGCCAAACAATTTCAAATAATGGCATGATTTTCATCCTGTAAGTGTATATATAAAGATTCATTCTAGTTACACTCAGGGATTTCAGCCAGTGTAAAGGTACCAGCATGAAGTGAATTTGACCCCTCATTAGCAGCAGCATTATTAATTTCAAAATGCAGCCTAAAAATCAATCTGCATTTCTGCACAAATCCTGAATGTCATTCCTGTCTCCCACTGATGAAGCAGGTAGGCTGAGAACATTTCTGTGCACAGGAGCAATATCACAGAAGTTTAGTAGGTGATTTATTTAGGAACAGATGGTGAAGCAAGAGGAGCAGACTGGGTGCACTAACACTGACCACATTTATTGGGGTGTTTTTTCCTCATTTTAGGGTAAGAAGTTGCCCTGCAGCCTTGGAGCAGATGCTGAGGAAGGAGAGGTTTCAGAAGAGGACAGTGCTGATGAAATTGAGGACGACTGCAAGTTAAAGCCCTGCTTTGTATGTGCACACAGTCAGCTCACAGAGTGTGACAGCTCTGCATCTCTTGCATGCACACTCCATGTCCTACTTAGAGTTAGCAGAGTTTTTCATTCCTAAGTTTTTAATTCCTGTGTCAGGCTCATGCTGCTCCATAGGATTCACTTTTACTTTTAAGTGCCTTATGTAAGAGACTGGTTTGAGTCTGTATAGTCTGGATGACTGTTAACAGAAATCACTTCCTTTTTTCACTGTTTGGAGCAGGAATCTAATGCTTAGGGTGTCTGTAAGTGCATTAGCTGGGAATTCATGCTCTTCTGAAAGAGAAGGGGGGGCTTGTGACAGCTGTGGGGCAGAGAGAGCCCATGGCCAGGTCCTGGGGATCTGTGGGGGGACTGTGAGCTGAGCTGGGTGGGCTCAGGGGAAAAGGAGAAGGGAAATGGCAGTGAAAGGCACAGGCAGAAAGGGCAGGATCAGGCAGGATTGTGCAAGGAGTCTGTTCTTGCAGAGGGGAGGAAATGGGAGCACTGTGTGACCCTCAGTGTGCAATGGGATGGACACAAACCCTGCTTGAGCTGGGTTTCCTGGTGCCTTTCAGAGCAATGGTGCAACTCAGCACCAGGTGGAATCCTTCATACGGACGAAACTGGAGTCTCTGCTGAAAGAATCCCAAATCAGGGACAAGGAGGATCCTGACAGCTTCACTGTGAGGGCCCTGCTGAAGGCAACTCACCAGAGCTTCAGTGTGAACATGAAGCAGGTACGTGGGCTGTGCAGGAGGGCACATTGCAATGTGCTGCAGATGCTTCAGATGAGAGAGCCAGGAACTGAGGAACTGCATGCAAACTCCAGGGACATTAAATACAGAGGGAATTTTCTGTGGAGATGTGCCTGCTCATGAACCAGTGTCACAGAACTCTTTTCTGGGAGTTACTGTGTAATTGATGGACTAGAAAGGGAGCAGTTGGGTTTTTTCCTGTTTTTTTACTGTTCATTTATTTTTCCTTCATTAGTGGTCTGCCTTCGATTTTTCCCAAATAATTGCTATTAAAAGAAGTAAAAATCTGCTAAAGATTATTTCTGCGTGTTACAGAGACTTCCAGCCTGAGCTCTGAGCAAATTTCTGAACCCAGGTTATTGATTTTGCTGGGCCCCCAGTGCCCTCATCGTCATGAAAGCCCAGAGTGAGTCCAGCTCAGCCCTGAGCAGGGAGTAGCTGGAGTTCACAGCGCTGAACACTCACCCAGCTGAGAAGCTGGGGGAATATTCTTCAGTTTTGTTTTGCTCTTCAGAAGATGAAGGGCTGTGTGTTCCTGACAGAAGAAGTGAGATGCTGCCAGGAGTTATCCAGCTGATGTCTGGGGGCATGGCTGGGAATGTGGAACTCAGCCTGCAGGCTGCCTATGAGAAGTCCACATTTATCTGCTAGGAGATTCTTTTTCCTCTCCCTTTTCCCTTTGTGGCTGCTTTCAAGAACACTCAGATGTCTTGGTTTGTTGTTATTTGCCTGGTTTTGCTAGACTGCTTTTTCTACATGGCTTGTTGTTGTCTTGAGTGCTAATGTTAGTATTTTTCTTTACAGTTAGATGATTGTAAACTGTGAAGTGTACAAAGAAATTAGAAAAGTCCTGTAATGAGATTTTGGATTTCAATTTGTTCACAGATCAGACTTTAACTCACTTTGTCTCATTTGCAATAATTTTATTTTTCTAATAGTGAGGCGGGGTGGCATACAGGGACTTGTATAAGGTTGAAATGCTGCCTTTTGGAGACTGTAGCAGACTCCTTAAAGACATTTCTGAAGGTATTTAGTTATGCTTTTTATTGCACTTTTTCTGCACAGAACTTAGACACAAAAGAAGGTGGAAAAAAGTCTCATGGTCGATCATTAATGGGGAACTTCAGTAAACACAAGGTGAGTGAAATAAATGAGAGCTGAGGTTGCTGTTGTAGGACTGGCAGCATTCCAGAGACCCTGGCAATGTTTTACTGCTCCAGACGAGTGTGATGGGCATGGGGGCAGCGAGCAGGGAGCCTGTGTGATTACACTTGGTGTCTTAATCTGTTCAGAAGATTGAACTGTGGAATTGCTCATTTTCTGATCAAACCTGCAGCAGCAGAAGAGCAGCAGAGACAAATGTCTTGGCATACCTTGTTTTCCAGAGAGCTGATGGTGCCTGGTTCAGTCAGGGCTCAGTTTTGCTGTGTCCCACCCTGGGCAGGGCCGTGCTGGGACTGTCCCTGCTCCCAGGGGCTGCTATGGCTGCGTGCTGGCTCTGGGCTCCTGCTCTGTGCAGATGTGTTCTGCATGATCTCCTCCTGGTTTTCCTGTGCTGGTTATGTTTGTGCAGCTGCTGGGCTGGACTGCCTGCCCTGCTGCTCCTCAGGGGTGTCTCCATGGCCAGGCAGGAGCTGAGAGCTCCCACTTCACAGCTGGGCACAGAGCAGCCCCCACAAGGGACAGTGCCACGTTTCCTCCCGTTCCCATATCCTGACACATGTGCTCCTGTCATCTGCCTCCCCTACTGCCACACTCCCTCAGCACCCTGAGCCTGGATTGACGGCCTCAGCCTGAGCTGCTGCAGCTGCCATCCCCCTTCCTGCTGCAGCCAGAGAGAGCTGCAGTGGTCACTGAGCACAGAGGCAGCTCTGCAGCCCAGTGAGAGCTGCAGTGGTCACTGAGCACAGAGGCAGCTCTGCAGCCCAGCCAGAGAGAGCTGCAGTGGTCACTGAGCACAGAGGCAGCTCTGC